GGTGAAGGCGGCTATTTAAGGACTGCATGGACGAACTGCATTTACTTGTCTGAACTTTCAACTTGAGGTGAGATAGGTGTTTGCTGACTCAAAGCATTAATGTTTAATGAAAAAATTCTTCTACTGTGACACCACAGAAATGGGATAAATGTCAATGTTCTCAGAAAAACTTATTCAGCTCAAAGTTCAGGAGATCTAAGAACTATTTCTGCCACAGTGTGCAGGCAAGTTACACCTTACCCTAGCTTTCTGGTCTCTGTAGCTACGTCCACAAGAGCACACAGCAAGAAGAAGCTTAAAGATTGGCGCACACCCAAGTCATGCTCTGTAAATACACGTCGCTGGCTGAGGGATACCCGTAGCTTAGACTTCAGTGAACCGAAATCATTTTCAAATAACATCAGCCTTTTCAGCGGACCGCATCAGTTCTCGTCCTGAAGCTGACTTGAGCATGTGTCAGCCAACAAACCTGACCAAACAGGCACTGAGTGCCAGGTCCTTGCATAAACCTGGTCTGTTCAGCCTGTTTTAGGTATCGTCCTTTAAGATGAAAACAATTGTTCTTGGAAGTGTCTGTTTCTCTCTTCTGACTTAAAAGGGGAGCATTACTGGTTAGATCAGACACAGAAATGTATAGCATGTGACTGCTCAGGTGAGTGCCGCTCCTAATGATGTTTGAGAGTATTCTGTAAGAAGATTATTAAACTCAGCTTCCTCCTCGTTCTTTAGGATGAGATGGAAAGATGGGATGGAAAACCCAACGGCCATTTAAAAGACAAATATTCAAAGTTAGTAGGTTCAGGTGTGCAACAATATTCATCAAAGAACATCCTCACTTCTTCCATTGTATTTATAGCCATTCGCTGAAGCTAATAAGGAGACACAAGGGAATTTCTCAGACACTAACGACCGGCAGCTCAAGGTGTGTGCAACTCTCTGTGCAGCACCTGGACTGCTGGGTTTTGAAATGTAATGTTGCAGGTGGCCATTCCCTGTCACCTGGCAAGCTTATATCAGAAACAAGATAATCAGAAATAAAAGATGGGAAAGACAGACAGCCACTGACATGGCAGTTGCTTCAGCTGGGAAATATATCAGGCCAGAATGCAGGACCTACTGACTTTCTCCTATGCACAAAGTTTCCACTGGGATGTAGGGCTGCAGGATCAAGGCCTTGTTTTCATGATTTAACATGGTAAACTTCTTGTACTTTCCACAGACGTTATGATCAAGTGCCCACAGCCATCTGTAGAATTTATTCTATTTAATAGGGAACTTCATTCATAAACATATTACCTAAAAGAGTGGGAATAATCTATTTTCCTCTAGGGAAATGAAGATGTTTCTGTTTTGAGTATACAGAGGACAATGTTTACAGATCACTGTCAGTGCCTAATGCTTCCTGTGATTTCATTTCACTCTTTTCTTTGAGAAAACTGCCCAGTGCACAACAGATCTGGCAAACAGTGGAGTCCACAAGCTGCAAATTTGTCTTTTTCCTCTCCTGTGAAATTTTAATCAGGTTTGGACAAGCTATGAGGAGTTTAAAACTGTCCTTTTCAGTGCTCAGGGCATGCACAACAGATCTGGCAAACAGTGGAGTCCGCAAGCTGCAAATTTGTCTTTTTCCTGTCCTGTGAAATTTTAATCAGGTTTGGACAAACTACGAGGAGTTTAAAACTGTCCTTTTCAGTGCTCGGGGTAGAGAAGCATCTTGTCACAGTCACAAAGAGCAGTCCAAGCTTTTGCAGAGGAAAGCTGAAACTGCTCTCCTTGCCACCACTGCTTCAAACTCAGGGTATGGCTATTTACCCTTCTTCCCTTGGAAAGGCTTGAGGACAATATCTAAAAGACCTGCCATTCCCTGAAGCAGGCCCCAGATCCAAATATGATACAAGCCAAAGCCTATCTTAAAGGGCAAGTGAGCAAAGTAGCCCAACTCTACCTCTGGATAAAGCATCTTCTTCCTTCTGGCAGCTAGTGTTGTCAGTCCTTATGATACAAGCCAAAGCCTATCTTAAAGGGTAAGTGAGCAAAGTAGCCCAACTCCACCTCTGGATAAAGCATCTTCTTCCTCCTGGCAGCTAGTGTTGTCAGTCCTTTTTTGCTTCAGATTGGTAATATCTGAAGTTAAATGTTGATGGATTAAGCCTCGTTAATGGTGAGAGAGAAGTGTTTAATTTATTTAGAAGAACAAATATTGGAGTGCATAAATACTGGAATATGATTTCTTCAGAATCCATATTAGCATATAAATCCCCTGCATATGTATAGTGGCCATTTATCTGTGGCTGCTGGACATTAGTTCGCTCCACCAGGAAAATAGCTAAGTTGCTTTTTCAGGCCAGAAAAAAAAAAAGAGAAAAGAAAAAGGGGGAACAGACAGAGGGAAAGCTGGGCTTTGGGTAGAGTGCTGAGAAGGCAATGCGAGGCTTGCTAAATGTAATTCTTAAGGACTGTGTATTCCAGTTACAGTGGTAGATCAGCTTTCTGGCATATACATGGTGGAGCACAACTTTCGTTTGTACTCTCAGGTAACAGTTCCCCAGCTCATGCACTGCACAGGCCACATGAATTACAGCAGAGAAAACGAGTACATTTGTCAAGTCCTCGAAAATCTTGGCTGAAAAGCCTGTTCCTAAGTTAGGTTTCTAGAGTTTGGGTGCTTAAATCTGAACTACTCACCGAAGGCTTGCGTTAAAATCAATGAAGGGCCATGAGAATCTCTGAAATGTTATGCATATTTTCCTAAGACAACTGTTTGAGAGAGTTAAGCTGCATCATTTTCTTGAGATGTACATAATTTCACATTAACTACGAAGGCAGTATAGTGTGACCCACTAAGATGTGCATGAACATTCTTTCAATCTAAATTGTGTGTCTGTGTGTTTGTGTTCATGTAACTGCATGCAATTTAAGATATAAAGTAATAATCTTAGAGAAAGTCCTGCTTGAACAAACTAGACTTGACCCATTTTAAAATTTAAACATTTGTTAAAAGGCACTTTGCCCAACAACATTTCAACAAGGACCCTTTTCTGTAACCCTGAAAGAACTTAATAAAAGGATTACATATATGGCATGTGAGGTATTCCCTGGGGAAAACGTTATGTAATGTATAACACAAGATACTCATGGCTGAGCTATGGGTAAAAAACAATGCACATTATTTGTGATTTTTTTTTCTTTTTTAATCACTTCCTGTGCAAATGAAGGAGCTCACGGGTCCTTACAATCAAACTTTGCAGTCTGTCTTATCCTGTGGTACAGCAAGGATAAGCAATAGGTTTTGAACAAAGATCTGCTTCCTCTCTTTGAGCTGTTCAAATGAAATACAGTTGCTACAAAGAAAAAAAGAAACTCTATGCTTATTTTAGCTTTCCCACTTGCAAGTTTGATTCTGTGATAGACTGGTACGTTCTTCTTGCTAAATAATTTGATTTCCATTCCAAATCCACAGACTCATTTTTAAGGCAAAAAAGCTGAGATCATTGTAAACTTCGTTTGGACAGTGGTCTAATTCTACCTTTATACTAGAAAACTGAACAGTGCCAGGGCTATTAGCCTCCATGAGATTACAACAGCAGTGTCAAGCAGACTTAGTCCAGGAATTACCATGAACAGGGCACCATTCCTGAAAGGTGCCTGGTGTCAGACATCCTGCTTGGAAAGCTAATGATTGACAAATACATAAAATGGCCTCAGGATCAGAGAAAAGGCCATGGCACTGCCTTGTACACCAGTATAGACACCCAAAAACCCCCTGAGTTCTTTAAATCTTGTAGCATGTGAGCAGTTTTCCAACAATAGTCTCACTAGGACAGCAGCCTGATGTAGCATCACCTCCCAGCATCTACAGAATCTGCCAATTCTGATACCCAAGGACCAACACGGCACTTTATTGCTGTATCCTAGCACTACGACTTAATGACTAATTAATCTACTACTGCAGTATCATCCCTTTTTTTAATAGACAAAATTTTTCATTGAATAAAGGCTCCCACCATACAATTTGGCCTATCTTCTGAACTTGGCTAACAGAGGCCAAGTTACTTAGTATCACATCAAAAAAATATTTTATCCACAAAACTTTTAGAAGTCAAGATAAATTTTTACAAGCGATGTGAATCTCAAGAACAAGTCATCATCCAACAGTAATCTGAGTGAACTTTAATTTGCTCCTTCATTCACGAGCTTTTTAAAACTATTTAAGAGATTCAATCTGTGACATATTTTCATTGTCTTAGCTAAGGGAAATACAAAAAGCAACAATTAAATTTGAAAAATTGAGCTGTTTTCTCAAATCCCTCTTTTTAATAATCTACCGCTTTATTTTTTATCAACTAGGAATATCCTTTTTTCTTTTGAAGAAGTATAATTATTTTCTTTATAAATAAGAGTTCACAATAAGAACATGTGCTCTGAGTACTTCATTCACTGTGAAATAAGAACAAGTATTTCTTCAGTCTACTGAAAGCCATTCTCTTTGCTTACCATATCCTACAGGAAGAGACAGGAGATATGTTTCATATAAAACAAAAAATCATTTACCTTCTAAAATGATAGCTACAACTTGAAGAAATTATTGACTACAGGAAACACAATTGACTGTCTCTGTGTTCCTTATTATGTGCAGCAAACCAGGCTCTGTGAGATTTTCTCGTAGGCTATTTCTTTTTTAAAATACGTGTAAGATATTGAAAAGCACGTCGAAAAGCACATCTGTGGCTAAATGAGCCGGTTTGCATAACAAACTGGAAAAATATGTAAGGCAGCATTTCATGCACTGAAATAGCCTGGGAAATAGAAGTCACTATATTGACCCATAGTGTTTTACTGTTTCCCTCCCATAGTGGGTGTGACAGTGTTTTTGCCTGTCTCCCTGTTTCTTTTTTTTTTTTTGCTATATCACCCAGATCCACTGAATTAGGCAGCTCCACTGAAGGCAAGCGTCCTTTATCAGGCTCTCACAGCCGCCTGCTCTCCTTCAATGCCTTCAGCCCTTGACACCAACATGAGGTTCAAGTTCTCGATCACGGCTCTTCTTCTGGAAGTGATCATCATTGTTTTGTTTGGGATATTTGTGGAATACGACAACAGTGATCCTTCTGAAAATTTATACCCACGTAAGTGTTGCTGTGTAAGATTTATAGAATTTCTTTAAACTAATCCTAAGCAAGATTTCTGAATAACTTATGAGACCTAGCGATACAGCCAGAAAAGAAAGTCATGCTTTGGGGCAAACAAACTTTTTCTGAGGTGTGAAAGCAGCAGGCTTCAAAGACAGATTCAAGCTGAGCACATATAAAATTCTGAAAGTACCTAACTGCTGAGAAGTTAGCAGTTCTGGGAGAGAATAGTCCTGAAAATAGTTCTAGTGTTTGCATAGCAAGTTAAAACTTGGAGAAATGTGAATTGCTTTGAACATTTCTAATATTTTCCGGCAATGGATGGGGCTGCTTCTTGCCAAACCTTCTGTCCTGATTACTGTATCAAACAATGAAAATGAACAGACCGTTTCTTTACTATGATCCAGGTTTCAAACGGCTGTCTTATGACAACACGGGAATTGGGCAGCGTATTCATCATCGTTACAAAATATGTTTGCAGAAACTGGACTCCACAAAGGACAGTGTTTTTTGCCACAAGGTGGATAACCCTCTCCTATCTTCCAAAGCAGTGGCTCAGTTGTAGACAGTAATGGTTCAGCCTGCAAGTGTTTCTGTTGATTTGTTGTTCTGCAAATGCTTGATGAAGTTCAGGGAGAAAGCTTTTGGCCTGAGTAGTTGCTGACTTCTCCCACTCTCCTCCTCCTCCTCATTCAAAGATCAGACTGTTGTAAATAGAAAAATAAGTCCGCAGAGGAGGAGCCTGTGCCTTGCTGGCAGTATTGAAGGTTTGTTGTTTGTCTTCTTGGCTCTGATGTCTTAACATGCAGCCCTGACTGCAGTCCTCTTAATGATGGTCATAGCAGTACAGAGCTCCTTGCCTGTATGTGGTACCTTACGTAAGTTTGAACACATCCATCTTTTTGTCTCATTCCAACTGGCCTTTCAGTGACCGTTAGAGGAGAATGCGATCTCGGGGTCACTTCACTCCCTAGTAGTCTTGGGTGGCGTATCCTCACACAGAGTGTTGCCCGATTGAGAGAATAGTGAATGCATGGTATTGTTCAGCTCCAGGAGCAAGTCAGCTGATGAACACCAGGGGCTAATTACTCTCATTTGGGTTGACTTTGCTGAGATGCAGCATCCACGAGAGAAAGTAACTTAGGGTATGCCAGAGCCCACTCTCTTTCTGAGACACAGCTTGATCATGTCCATGATATTGAACTACCCCAGCTCCTAAATTAGGTGGCCTTATCTAGGTGGTATATTGGGAATGACCCTTGGTCCACTGTCACCCAGGAGGTGATAGCTGGCCTAGGCAAAAAACTATGCCAGAGACCACACTAATAATTTGACAGCACAGATAATTCTGGCACTGAAATTTTATTAACATAGCTATTGCCTAAAACACCTGTCCACCTACCTCTTCTCTGACTCCACCCCAAAACAACATGACAACAACAAATACAGCCACAAACCTCCTCCTAGGTATGGCTTTAGGCATATTGCAGATAAGGGACTATTCTCAGCAAGTAGGGCAGGTGGGAACAGTGTTTTGGGGGAGAAGAGCATGTAGCTGTACAGATGTGAGTCCTCTGCCATCTGCCTTTTGGCCAGCCTGTTCAGTTTACCAGTAGAGATATAAACTAAGCAAACACTGTAGATGTCATGTTGGACTTTCAGATGATGACCTAAGAGTTGATGGATCTCATTCACAATAAAGAAGTGGGATCAAAGCAGGATTTCCTAATATCTGTGTTTCCACTTTTAGACCCTCTTCCTTTCAAACTTCCCTGTCTACAAAGTACACACAAGAGCACAGTTTGCCTGAGGACCCAGCAGAAAAATTAACGCTATGGTTGTATAGATGTGTCAGGACTTATCCTGAGCCAGAGCTTCTCCTGAGTTCACAAACTGGAGTGTTCAAACTACTTCCTATGCTATCCCCAGTGATGTTAACACATCGGTACCTC